CCCCAGGATCGGCTCCTTCCGGCGCCTCATGGACTTCCATTAGTCAACACTTGTGAAGAACGATTCAGATGTGTTCTGATAACTAAGAATAAAAGTTTTTTAAAGCAACATTCAGTGTCTGCAATTGAATCTCATTCATCTGTCTTCTCTATATTAACCATACAAAACAAAATCCTTTAGAAATGTGCTTCTATATGCAGTATGTTATGCATTGTGGGACTTGGTATTTTCGGTCACAGTGGTTTCATTCTCAGAGTCTCAGCAACAAACACAAATTCCTTTTTCACTCTTTCTGCAATGTGAGATCAAACCAGTTGGTTCATCCCCTCAAGCTTTGACCTACAATTTGAACACACAATTTATCCTATATAGTTCGAGTAAATAGCTGTGTCAGCATGCGTAGGCTGCAACGGAACAAGTGAAGGCTTATTCCATGCTGAAGAGAGATGACAAGAAACACAATGTTTAGACTGTGGAGCATTCCTGAGGTGTCACTTCAAAGCCGAAATGTTGTGTTTCTTTTCTTCACTTTTCAGCATGGAATAAACTTTACTTGTTCCATTTCTCCTACTGTATGTAGCAAAAACACTTCTGTAGCATAATAACATATCTATGATGTCAATTAAAAATTTAATAATAAGGTGCTGTACAAACTACATGACTATCTTTAGGCTCTTGTGGTCATTCATACAGTATGAATGACCAACAGGCCAACAGGTTCTACAGGATATGTGTGAAATTGATCTACATTGTGCTTACTGGCACGTGAGCGCTGAACACACAGTTTGTCAAGGACCTCAGTGTTGGACTACTTCCAGGTTAAGTCCCTTAGCTCTGGTGCTCACAGTGGTGGAAGAAAGTTCTCCTTCTGATGTGTCCACTCCACGCTGAAGAGATGTCTTTAACTGAACCTTGGTCCTGTTCAGTAATGTCTGGCAGGAGTTGATGAATACAAATCCACATCTTTGCTGTTGACCATCTACTGCCTTCTGTTTCCCCCAGAGTCAGATTTTGATTGGCAGTTCTCTCATTGAAAAATGTATCCTGGATCTTGATCAGATAACAGCTGTAGTAAAGCTGCTCAGAGTGGCTGAATCATTTGTTATCTCTCCAGATGATCTGCTGGCTGTTTGACTTCAGCAGGTTTTGACCACTGGTA